GCGAGGTCTTTGCTTGTCCGGGCCGTTCCTATAGATTGCTGTATAGTCGTCTGTTGACGGGCGTTTGACGGTGCTCGTCATAATCTGTCACTTTTGTTGGTCAGTGTCTAGATGGCGATAAGAACTGCCACCTGTGGTCCGCAGTGGACCTGGCCTTCTTTGTCCTGATGGGTGTGGTCGGTGGCCTGCTGGGGGCGCTCTTCAACTGCATGAACAAGTGTCTGGCCAAGTATCGCATGAGACATGTTCACCCCAAGGCCAGGTTCTTCAGGTGACCCGGCACAGCCCGCCCCAGCTGACAAACACAAGCTTTATTTCTGATTTTAAACCTTTTTTTTTTCCATTTCAGAGTACTCGAGAGTCTGCTGGTTGCCATGGTGACAACAGTTGTGATATTTGCCGCTTCCATTTTGTTGGGCGAATGTCGGGACCTGACCTCCCCCACCACCCACAACACCACGGTGAGTTTTTCCCGTTACACGACAGAGTGCAGCTCCCTGTCTGGTTAAAGGACAGGAGTGAATAAGACGTGTGAGAGCAAGTCATGGTCTTAATTCTTCATGAGGAAACGTAAATGTTTTCATGACTGACAGTAGGGATGGCACGATTATCAGTATGGAGGTATACAAGGAGATTTCTGTTAACTGACTCCAAAGCTTTCTCTGACTGCGAATGGAAAGCCAACAAGATGGAGACGGATTGGAGACCTGGTCCTACAGGTGAAGGATTTCAAGTGTCTCTCAGCGTGGCTACGTCCACTGAGGAGGACCTGTAGCTCAGACTGCTGTCAAACTGGGAAAAATCTGTCCTTCTTCACTCTTCAGGAAACTAAATCTCTCTAAAGCAACAGTTGAAAGTGTTTTCCGGTATGGGTCAGGACCATGATCACTCACTGAATGGGTGTTTAACTCATCTACAAATGGCAAGAAAGTGTGACAAGGACCTCTACAGAGATCCCACCAGCGTCAGACGGCTCCATTCTGCTACAGAACCAAGAAGGAACATATCTGTTGGGTTTTATTCTAAGAACCAGCAAGTGGTCCAAAGGAAGATGACCAGGAACGTCCGACATCAACAGGATGATGGATGATTGAGGACTCTGTCCCTGAAATCGACCAAGGTGGATCGGAGCATATGGAGAGCAGTGTTTCCCCTCGGTCACTTGCCTTGGTAGGGTGCTCCTCTCTTCAGGGAGTTTTGTAAATGGGGGAGGTTTGGGAGAGAGACATGTCTGTGTTGCACGCTACTTTTGTGCCGGCAGTTGTTGAGAGAAGCGGAGCACTGTGTCATTAGTAGCTTTTTAGTTAGCGCTTCTGTATTTCGCACCGCTACGCCCAGCAGTTTTCGACCGGGGCGGGGGTGGGGTGCAGAGTTGTGGGTGAAGGACATTTCGGTAGTAGGCAGGGCGCTCGGTTCTGTTGACGGCGGGGCGCCCTCCTTGTATAATGGTAGGGGAAACCCTGGAGAGACATCTGTGGGGATCGAAGAAATTTGACTAACTTTTATAAAATGTGTGTCTCTTTTATATAATTAATAATGACAGTGCACGGAGTGGGAAACGTATATTTAGGAGTTGTTTCAGAGACGCCACATGAAGTTGGTGCGTTGATTTCTAATATTAACAGTCTTTTTGTCTATTCCATGTTCATACTTACAGGACCAACAATGTTTCTGCTACTAGACACAGTTTTAATCAAGCAATCAATATAACTTTATTGTCCAAAACATTTCATGACATGGAGATTTATCTTTGACATCTGGCTCGTACATGCAAAACAACACAATAAAAAATGCCATAAAACTTTAAAAAGCTTTGCTAACCCAATAAAAACCTATTCTAAAATACACGATACATTAAAAACATCTCGGCAGACAGCGGGTTGTCATGTGAGGCTGCGTTTAAATAGGACCTGCTCACGGCAGAGAGAACAAATGACTTTTTGTTCCATTGTTCTTCACCAGAGGAACCAGCAGTCTTCTGCCAGATGGTTCCAACCTGAATAATGGTTGCAGTGGATGAGTTGGGTCATTGTAAACCTGTATAGCCTTTTTTTCAGAACCTGACTGTACAGGTCTGTAGGTTGCATTTGCTGATGACCAATGATTTTACAGTCCAGTTTGACCACCTGGGACAACTTGTTCCTGTCTCTGGCTAGGACGTTCCCATACCATGAGACAATATTAAAGGAAACAACAACCAGTGACCTGTGCACCAACTGCAAAGTAATTTTGCTTGCATTAAAGCTCCTCAGCTTATATAGAAGGTGGAGACGCTGTCTGGCTTTTTGTAAGTACAGTCAGTGTTGGGGGTCAAAGGTCAACTTGTTAATTATTGTTCCGAGGTATTTAAATTCAGTCACCTGCTCTGCTTCCTGCACTTTTATAACTGAAGGTCTGAATACAGGTGTGGTGCTGGCTGCTCCCCATCTTTTGTCTCCAAATCCTGCTTTAAACTTCTCCACAGCAGTATCTCAGATCTGCCTGGTGTGTTCCTTGGTCTTCATGATGCTCTCTGTGCTTTGAACAGAACCCTGAGACTATCACAGAGCAGGTGCATTTATACGGAGACTTGATTACACACAGGTGGATTCTATTGATCATCATCAGTCATTTGGGACAACGTTGGATCATTCATAGATCCTCACTGAACTTCTGGACTGAGTTTGCTGCACTGAAAGTAAAGAGGCCCAATAATACTGCACGCCCCACTTTTCAGTTTTTTATTTGTTAAAAAAAGTTTGACACATCCAATATATTTCATTCCACTTCACGATTGTGTCCCACTTGTTGTTGATTCTTCACAAAAAATTAAAATTGTATATCTTTATGTTTGAAGCCTGAAATGTGGCAAAAGGTTGAAAAGTTCAAGGGGGACGAATACTTTCACAAGACACTGTATGTCGCAACTCATTTATGTATAAAGTGAATAAAAGTGGTGATAGCACACAGCCCTGTGGAACATCAGTGTTCTTTAAACCTAAAACTATTGCTTTAATAAAATATGTGCACAGACCATGTGAAGGTACGGTCACTTTGTACCTTTGCAGCTTTGGTCACTTCTTACCCCCTTTTGTCCATTTTGTTCCTTGGCAGATGATTTTTGTACCAGAGTTAAAAATGTCTGGCTTATCACTGGAACATAGATGTGTTTTAATTGTATTTATTTTTACCAGAAGTTTCTAAAGTGGAACTGGTGCCTTGGCACACATGCATGGGTGGAAAAATCCAGCTGAAGGTACAAAACATCAAATAATGTAAATAACAGGGTGCTGTTCAGTGAAGGGAAGAATTGATCAAGAACATGCATGTTGGGCTGCCGTCAGGCCCAGGCCTCCCTTTCAAAAGAGATCTGTGATCTCAGTGGGATTTGCCTGGTTAGATAAAGGTTAATAAATAAAATAGAACCTGGAGGTAAAACTCCTGTTAATGCTCTTATGACAGCCTTTAGGTGCGTACCAGATCTTTACTTCACGTTGAGTCCTTTGTCTGGGCAACAACCAAAATAATTAGAACCCATATTTTATTAATATTAGAATAAATTGATCCAGATGAGGCCCACAGAATTGCAGCAGACTGAACATTTGATCCCCCCCCCCCCCCCCCATGTCTTTACTGTTCAATCATTTCCAGCTGGCCAACAGTGAGGAGATCAACTCAACCATTCGCCAGTTCTTCTGCTCCAACAAGACCTACAACGACATGGCCACTCTGTTCTTCAACCCCCAGGAGGCTGCCATCCACCAGCTCTTCCACCAGGACGGTGAGCAGACCTTAAACTGGCAACACTTCATTTAAAATGCATTTTTAAAAGCGATCCACGCGCATCGAGCGATCCACGCGCACCGAGCGATCCACGCGCACCGAGCGATCCACGCGCACCGAGCGATCCACATCCTAAAGAAAGCATCCTAACATTTTTAAGAAGCTTGGTGTACTGCACGTGATTTTAACTATTTTGTCACGTAACTCGTGTTCTTCCTTTAGAACTTGGTGCAGCCAAAGTGAAACAGGAAGTGACATCAAAGGGGAACTCTTTAAAAACAGGAATGTCCCGGTCTCTGTTGATTTAAACGATCTTATCTGAACTCTTCTTCGTCTTTCGCTGATGGCGACTCAAAATAATCAGAAGACATCACTCACATCACTTCCTGTTCCAGAGCATGAGAGTATCTCAACAACTGTTCGTCTCAGCAGCATGAGATTTGTTTTTCAGTACGTTGTTAATGTTCTCTTTACAAAAACGCATCCATTTCATGTCACGGGCACCGTTCGGTACAGCATGGGATGTTTTTGTGCAGCTGCTTTTATCAGAAACACTTAAAATCAAATGCAAATTCTAGTTTTCTTATTATCTCTTGTAAAATAACCTCCATTGACCAAAGGCTCTTACAAACTATTATAAACTGATATGATCAGATATAAATTTGTGTTATTCTACATTACAGTCGAGTTAACAGCATCCCGTAGTTCACTGATACGTACAGAAGGTTCCTGAGGCCTCAGTTTGTCGAGCGTTTGACGACTCGAGCTTCAGACGAGGGGGATGACCCTTCTCCGGTTCCTCCCCACAGGGACCTTCAGTCCGGTGACCCTGTCGGTGTTCTTCCTGCTCTACTTCCTGTTGGCCTGCTGGACCTACGGCGTGTCCGTCCCCAGTGGGCTCTTCGTCCCGTCGCTTCTCTGCGGGGCGGCGTTCGGACGTCTCGTCGCAAACATCCTCAAAGTGTGAGGAAGAACTTTTCTTTTTGAAGCTTTTGTTGTCTCTGGGTACTCATGACACCAAGAGACCAGTATCTAAACGAGCTGAAATTTTTATTTAGTTTATTTAACATGTCCTAATTAAAACTTGTTCCAAACTTGGTCTAACGTTGTGTTCAGTGATTTCCTTTGTTTTGGTCTGATGTTTCTCCTCTGACAGGAAACTGGGGATGGACATTTACTCCGGGACCTTTGCTCTGATCGGCGCTGCCGCTTTCCTCGGGGGAGTGGTCCGGATGACCATCAGCCTCACCGTCATCCTCATCGAGTCCACCAATGAAATCACGTACGGGCTGCCCATCATGATCACGCTGATGGTACGCTGCCTCGTTTGGTCTCACGGTTCTCCAACAAACGGCTCTTAAAACATTTTTAACGTCCGTCGACTGGGCGACGCATCGTGGTGTGGTCTGTCCGTCTGTACGCTTTCTCTGGTCCCGCCCATAACTTCTGATCCACTCAAGATCATTTCTTGAGACTCCATGCCCATTTATACCACCCCAACACGGAGTGTCGTGAACTTTTCATCACGCCAGCTCCAAGGTCACAAATCAAGGTCAACAATTATACAAGGTCTTTGCTTGTCTGGACCGTAGTTCTGTTCCGCTCAAGATTAATTTAATGAAATTTGATACAAATTTATACCAACAGTAGATGATGTCTCGCATATACTTATCGCTCCAGCTTCAAGGTCACAAATCAAGGTCAAAGGTAAAACTAGGTCTTTGCTCGTCCCACACAACTTCTAAACTGCTCAAGATAATTTAATGAAACTTGATACATCTATGAATCATCACCAGGACGAGAGTTTCTTACACGTTTCATCACCACAGCTTCAAGGTCAAGGTCACAAATCAAGGGCAAAGAGAAAGCAAGGTATTTGCTTGTCCGAGCCATTGCTATAGATTCCTGTATTGATGTCTCATATCCTATCAGTTTATGATGCTGGATTTTATCCTTTGAAACAAATTATGCTAATATGATGTACTGCTGATTGTCCATGCTGCTGATTGCCCATGCTGCTGATTTCTCAACCCTAAGCTGCTGTATTCATACCCATCTGCTCACAACAGACTCATGTTCAGGCTGCTGTTTAATACACCGTATTATATTACATTATTATTTAGTGTATATTTTAGATCCTTATTTACTGTTTCTTTTTATACTTTATATTTTTGCTAATGTTGGAAGTAACTGGGACTCTGTGTACACATTTTCCACCTCATGTACCACAAATGATGCAAATGACAATAAAGAACCTTGAACCTTGAAATATGCTGAAAATATGTCAGAACTCAGTACTCAGTACCGGTAGTTTTATCGTTATGGGTTTTCTATGTAGGAAAATAATGTTTTTGGTACAAAGGACTGATAATTGTGTAAATGTTCAGTCTCCTGCAGAGAATTAGCTGCATGAACGAAGCGTCTCGTTCAGTTTGAAGCTTTGAACTCCGCTCTCAAAATGTCTTCAGCCTCAGAGGAAAAGAGCAGCCCTTTTGTTTTTGAAACTTTCATTTATTATTTTTGGATTTCTTTCTGTTTTATTGTCAGGTTGCGAAGTGGACCGGAGACTTCTTCAATAAGGGCATCTATGACATCCACATCCAGCTGAAAGGGGTCCCCCTGCTGGACTGGGAGACTGAGGTTGAAATGGACAAGTAAGATTTGTTTTTAAAGAAAAAAAACATCTGTTTAACTCCTGCATGAAGTTATGGGGCGACACGGTGGCTCAGTGGGTTGAGCTTTTGCCTCTCGGAGAGAAGTTTGCTGGATCGAATTCCGGCCGGGGCGCCTGTGTGAGTGGAGATCCTGATGCACACTTAATAATCCATGTAGAAAAATCTAAAGTCAGGTCCTGTGGACGGATTCTTGTTGAAACGTTTTGTCTTTTATCCAAAGGACTTCTTCAGTCTGAGGAGATGCAACAAACTCAGTCTGATGAGCAGCACCTTCTCATGGTGGATCAACCAGTAGCCACTAGCTGTTCACATGATAATGGCTGATGGTCCTTACCATGTGGACTACTCAAAAAAAACTAACCCAAATAGAAAGTAGACTTTTAAACCAGGTAGAAACCAGAAGAACCAGTCAGTATCTGGTGTGACCACCATGTGGTTTCTGACCGTTTGTGCAGAAACTCTTTGGTTTCGTTGCAGCAGCTGTCTGGGTGGCTGGTCTCAGACTTGGAGGTGAAGGTGCTGGGTGTGGAGGTCCTGGGCTGGTGTGGTTACACGTGGTCTGCGGTCGTGAGGCCGGTTGGATGTTCTGCGAAATTGTTTGAAATTCCTTTGAAGATCAGATGGTAGAGAAATTAATACTCAACTCTCAGAAGCAGCTCTGGTGGACATTACTGCTCCCTCAGAACCTGCAACCTCTGTGGCCTTTTATTGTGGTCAGCCTAAGGCCCACCTGTGAGGTGGACGGATTGTCTCAGTGAAGGATACGTTCTATATTTTTGTATATGGTGGCAGCCATCTTGTGTTTTGGCGTGGCTGCCCAATTCTCAATAAGAACCTTTCTTAGGCCTAGATGCAGCCACACACCAAAATGGATAACGACTCGTAGCTTAGTTTTCTAATTATCCAGCTCACGAGGACAGACGAAGGGACAGAATGTCCAATTCCCCTCTTCACTCCTCGACAGGGAATAAAAAGGTCAAACGTCGTCTTCGCCCTGGACAGACGGTCCACGTGTTTTATAACAGGAAGTGCTGCAGAGAGCTGCTGATCATTTTCCATTAAGGTTTTATTCAGAGCAGAACTCAAGATTTCTGAACTGAACTGACAATAACAGTTTGTGGCGACATGTTTTCTGAGCTCCTCGGGGAAATACATTTCTCTAAAGGCTTTTCTTCTGCAGGCTTCAGTCCAGATGACATGATTCAACCTTTTTTGTTGTTATATACCTGGATGACTGAGAAAACAAACTTTGTATTTCTCTAAAGGCTTTTCTTCTGCAGGTTTCAGCTTTCAGAAGGATCTCGCGCTGTGACGGTAAAGGCATCGTGTCCGATGTGAGCCCAGAGCTGGCTGCACAGATCGGCTTCATTTCTGTTGATTGACTGAAGTAACTTCTTGGTTTAAAACCAAAGCCGTCCTTAATCTGTGATTTTGTTTCATTTTGGATCCTTCAACAGTTGGACGGAGACTTGGTCCACCGGTGAGTTCCTCACGCAGTCCTGCTCAGGTGGCGTGAATCTTTCTGTTTCGTCTTTCCCCCAGGCTGACAGCCAGCGACATCATGGAGCCCAACCTGACCTACGTGTACCCCCACACCCGAGTTCAGTCCTTGGTCAGCATCCTCCGAACCACCGTGTACCACGCCTTTCCCGTGGTCACAGAGAACCGGCAGAATGAGCGAGACTTCATGAAGGGCAACATCCTGATCAGCAACAACATCCACTTCAAAGTACGTCGTTTTCCTTCTTTACTCCGACGGAGGGAGCAGCTCGACCGCCCTTTGTCTGAGATTTCTCATCCTGCTCTTTATCTTCTGGTTCGATTCGAACAGAATCAAGTTGGTCTTTCCTGCAGGGTTCAGGGTCATCGTGCTCTTACACATCACTTCTCACAGATTTGTCTTTTTTTATTGTGAGCAAACCTTTGAAAAACGCTCCAAGTCAACAGAACGCTGTCGTTCTTGTAGCGGTCCAACATCGTGTCCCGTGCGGGGGAGCAGCGGCGGCGGTGCCAGTCGATGAAGTCGTACCCGTCCAGCGAGCTGAGGAACGTTTGTGATGAGCAGGTCGCCGCCGTGGAGCCGGCGGAGGAGGGCGAGGACCTGCTCCAGCAGATGTTGGAGAGAAGGTAGGACAGGCGCACCGGGACGATGTAAAGTCCTGCTGTGTTGCTCTTTTCAAACGTAGTCTTTGTTGGAAGATGTACCAGCGATCATGGCACGTGGTTCCTGATCCAGCTGCAGGTTCTAATTTGTCTGGGTTTTCCCAAAGCTGCTGCAGGAGCAGGAAATCAAACGTTGTGAGACGTGGGCTGCTAAAGTGCATCAGCATCCTTAATGAAGGCAGGCACCCCACCCTGTCAACAAAACTGAGCATAGAGTATTCAGTATGTCTCAGGGATCCCGCCTGTCAAGCAAAATGAATTATAGAATAAACTTCATGTTGACGAGGCGCCAGCTCCCGTCCATCGGTTCCACCGTCAGTTTCTGTAATCCTCGTTTTGGTGCTGTTTACATCTAGGCATGCTCCATACCCAAACCTGTACCCGGATCAGTCTCCCAGTGAGGAGTGGACCATGGAGGAGCGGTTCAGACCACTTACCTTCCACGGCCTCATCCTCCGCTCCCAGCTGGTCAACTTGCTCATCAGAGGGGTCTGCTACTCCGAGAACCAGTCGGTCAGTTGCACTCTTGTGCGTTCGGATGCTGTTTTTCTGCCGTTTCATGACGATCTTCTCCCTGGAATAGAGTGCCACTCAGCCCCGGTTGTCGTATGCAGAAATGACAGAAGATTACCCACGTTACCCAGACATCCATGAAGTGGACCTCACCCTGCTCAACCCCCTCATGATAGTGGTACGATCCATTTTCCGGCACACTCTGACGATCTTCTGAGAGTTCAGACAGGAAGTTCCAGATTTTCTTAGATTTTGATTAATCGATTGATGTGTTCCCAGGATGTCACCCCCTACATGAACACAAGTCCCTACACGGTTTCACCCAACACCCGGATCTCCCAGGTCTTCAACCTGTTCCGGACTATGGGTCTCCGACACCTACCGGTGGTCAATGCTGTCGGCGAGGTAAATTCTCCAGTCATACCTATTTTATTGGAACTTTTGAAGCTTTCTAATTTAATAAAAATCGACTAGAAACCGTTTCAGTCCACGACACGGTGACATTTTGTCTCTTGTGTTTCTTTCAGATCGTTGGAATAATCACGAGGCATAATTTAACCCACGAGCTCCTGGCGGCCAAACTGCGACAGCATTGCATCACCATCTGAGCAGATTTGGACTTCCAGTGTCCGCGCGGTTCTGCCGGGTCTTTCAGCTTTTGATTTGGTTCATCACTGCACGCAGTGGGTTATTCCTGACCCCACGCTGAACACATCAAGGCTTCATTAGGTGCTTGTGGACCAGGACCACCTTCAACGTTCCTCAAACTATTGAACTGGTTGTAGTTAGTAGATCTGCTTTTAGAGTCTTAGTTTTAAAGTCGTAGTTTAAATCTGTTCGCATGAGAAGCCCCTGTCAGGTGTTTGGGTTAAACAACGTAAGAGGTCCAGATAGTGGACCACTACCTGTACGACGTACAGTGATTGGTTAGAGAGCAGCACCAGAACCTGTTTTAAAAACAAGATTTATTGACATCACAAGTACCAGAATTACAGTTATGGGAAAAAGAAGGTTCACCCCCTGTCAGTTCTGGGTTCTACGTATTGGACTTTGATAACACTGATCTGGTTTTTACCAGGTTCTGAAGGGTTCTGCTCAGATATCTGAAGGTCCACCATAGACAATCAGGTTCAGGCTCTGGACTCTGACTGGACAGTTGCTTCTGTTCTTTCTGACCTGTTCTGTTGTAGATCAGCTGCTGTGTTCTGGATCACGGTTCTGTTGGACCCAGTTTGGTCCAAGCTTCAGCTCTTGGACTCCAGAACCCTTTGGTCTACAGAGTCCAGTCAATGACTGACAGGAGCCGGAACCATCAGCCTCCACCACCGTGCTGACAGCTGGAGGAGATGTTTGCTGCAGTGCATTCTGGGTACACGTCTGTCCTCTGGTCTGGTTCTGATCCAGAAGTCTTGTGGTTCCTTCAGATGAAACGTGGTGGCGCTGCCATGTTGTTTTTAGAGAGAAGAGGTCATGACCTTTGACCTTCTGACAGGCCTGTAGAGTCACTGCACGGTCTGACCTTCAGGGTGAATCTGCTGTGATTATCAGCTGGGAGGAGCCAGTAGCTTCAGTTTGGTCTCGTGTCCATCAGACGGGTTCAGATCCAGTTTTTAGACCGAGCCGTGCTGCCTCGGTCTTTCCGTTTACGACGGCGTCGATAAACGTTTTATTTTAAAGTTTTTACTCTTTTAACTTTTCCATTTTATCTTAGTTAAACAAATAATGACACGGTAGAATCTGACTTTGTTTATGAAGTTAAACTGGGTTATTTTAGAACCGGGTCAAGACCAGATCAGTTTTGTGAAGTCCTGATCAGTGAAACCTGAGAACTGAAGAAGGGTGGGCTGTTTGTTTGTTTGTTTGCTGTGACTGTAAACAACAAACTACCTGAATGAAATCCCACCTGCAGACATTTCAGTCCATTTTATTTCATATTTGTTGTCACTGTTGCACTTTGTTGTTGTTTATCGATATTGTTTGTTTACTGAGGTCAACAAATGCACTACAGCAGGCTGACGGTGTTCATCAGGACCTGCAGTGTGACTGAAGCTCGGGACGTTTTAGATGTTTGCTCAGCAACGTAGGCGACGTGACGCCGACTTGTTCCACGACGTGACGCCGGATCGTTCCACGACGTGACGCCGACTCGTTCCACGACGTCACGTCGACTTGTTCCACGACGTGACGCCAACTCGTTCCACGACGTGACGCCGGATCGTTCCACGACGTGACGCCGACTTGTTCCACGACGTGACGCCGACTTGTTCCACGACGTGACGCCGACTTGTTCCACGACGAGACGCCTACTCGTTCCACGATGTGACGTCGACTCGTTCCACGACGTGACGCCGGATCGTTCCACGACG